TACAAGTTGCAAAAAATTATTTCTGGATGTTTTATTTTTAATCTTCAAATTTTTACTGAAGAAGGGACCCTAGAGATCATGTAGTTCATCCTTGTCCATTTACTGATTAAGAGAAAGAGATTTCCAAACCCACGATCAATTTACTTAAAGACATGGTATAAAATAATGCTGTTGCTTCCAGGGAAGTAATCTACTAATCAGGGACCCAAAAAAAAAAAAAAAAAGAACAGAGGTGTTTATACAATGCTTCTGCTTTCTCTCTGGCTATAAAGCTATTTCATTTGGATATAGATTAACTGATTCAAATCTCCTCAGCTAGATAGCAGTGGCCTTCTTATCTTCTATCATGTATACCATTAATAAACAAGATGACTAAAAATAGTATAAATATCACTCTAATAGACTTTCCTCATCCTGTTGGTATCTTTTAACCCTAAAAAATGCTTAATTTAAAAAATACATATGTGTATATTAAAGTTTATTATGCTTGTAAAGTGCTCCTGTTTTTAAGACCAATGACATTATTGCCATAATATAATTTGGTGTAAAATAAAACATTTATTGAGTACCTATTTTGTACTAGAGTCTGCATTAGGCTATGGGGATACAAAGATAGGCAAAGCATGCTTCATTTCTTTAAGGAGGTAAGCCCAGTGAGTGAGAAAGACCATCTTATGATAAAATTATGATTAATATCATGATAACTATTACAAAGATTACTGTTATCAAGGTATTCTGTGAGCCCAGAAAAGAAATGCCTAAGTCAGTATGGAAGAAGGCTTTCTGGAAGAGAAGGAACAGGAAAAGGGTGTGCTATGAGAATTCGTTGTTGTGCAACTTTTTGTAGTTCTGATTTCATGGGGCTACAAATAACTAATTTCCTTTCCGTCTCTGCCGACAACATTTCTCCAATGCCTGAATCATAGCTTTTGTTTCATCTGTGACCTGACCAAATAGACTGTTGGTTGACAAAGTATTTTTCCTTTTTGAGTCTATGGTACTTTGAGGACTACTGGAGTTTCCAGTCTCAGCCATGGGATTTTCCCACAACGAACACATCAAAGCCCTTTCCAATGATTAACAAAAGATAATAGATAGAATAGTAAACTTTTTAATTAAGCATGTCAGCAATTGCTTTAAAAATCTGTGCCCTAAAAGAGAGATATAGTGTCTCTTAGACATATTGTGAAAGATGTAGTATGTAATTTATTGGTTTTAAATGAATATTCCACTAGTGAGACCTGGAAGCAGGATGTTCTGAAGAGTCTGATTGTGCTTTTTATTTTTTTCCAAGTATCAAGCACCCAGAAGCCAAATGCTTTGCAAGGAAATTCACATAAAATAAGTTATTTGTGTGCAAGCCACCCATCTCAGTAGATTTAAGAATTAACATTCACAGAATTCAGAGCAGTTTTTAAAAAGTAGTTTTGCATCTTAGGTGAAAACAAAGCAAGCTAAGATCAGTGCATTTCAATATCAGCTAATATTGTCTGGTTTTAGTCCTTTTCTTATTAAAAAAAAACTCTCTTGTATGCCTAAAGATGTATTTCATTGCAAGCTCCAGTAAATCAAAGAAGGAGAAGAGGGTATGTGTGCATTTAAGGAGGGGAAGTGGGAAGAGGAACTATATATATAGGTACATAAGGGCAACCTTCATCTATTTTTTTTTTTAACTTTCCTCATTTCCCCATCATATTTCCTTTGATTCCTAAATTATTTCTTTTTTTAAAAAGATTTATTTATTTATTTAAGAGAGCAAGAGTGTGCACCTGTGGGAAGTGGCAGAGGGAGAGGGAGAATCTCCAGCAGACTCCCCGCTGAGTGAAGAGACCGACGTGGGGCTCCATCCCACAACCCATGAGATCATGACCTGAACCGAAATCATGAGTTAGACACTTAACTGACTGTGCCTCCCAGGCGCCCCCCTAAATTATTTCTTTTGCCAACCTATTCCCCAGTACAGAAGATAGATATCATCTACAATCTCTACCTAAAATATTAATAAAACACACTTAGTTGTATGTGAAATATTCTTTAAATGTGCTCTTTTTTCCCCTATTTTGTTAGCAGCATTTCTCTGGGATGATGCAAATCTAGGGCAACTGCCTTTTGGCATCGGGACCCTAAATGTGCTCCCTACTGGGCTGATTACTTGAAGCTAATGTAGTGTTCCATTCATTGGATTCCACACACTTCCCCCATATTGATTGCATTATCAGTAGTAGTAATCACAGATATCATTACCAGCCAATTACACAAACACATATCTAAACTAGGTAACTTATTCAGCAACATTATCTCTTACAAGTCTTAATTTTGTAATGAAGCTGATCATCTTGTCCAATTGAGTGTAGCTACATATTTTGATCTAGTAGGCTAAATGTGAGTGTATTGAATTATGTAATAGGTAATTACTTACGTATGTTTGTAACAACGCAAATGAGAGCAATTTGAATGTAATCTGTTTCTTATTCTATTTGAGGGCTGCATTAGAGAAGGTTAACTGCTTTAAAAAAAATAGACCCAAGCATGTATTTGGATCAAACACAATAGAAGTGTTTTGTTTTTTTTTTTTCCTGCTCACATAACAGAACTGGTGTGAGAACTAGTACATAGGCATGCAGTCATCCAGACACCCAGGTGGGTTTCTGACATATTCAGTACAAGATTTCCAAGGTCACCCTGAATGATTCACTTCAGGGAAAATGAGTATTGAGGAGCTAATGGATGAGGTCTAACCTTGGCAGTGATGAGCATTCACATGACCACACCTAAATACCAAAAAAATGGGTATTATAATCTATCCCAGAAAGTAGAGGAAAGCATGGACTTTTGGTGAACAGTTAGCAATTTTTTCCATAAGGACTCAAAACAGAACTTGCTTTCTTTCCCTATTTAATGAATACTTTCCTTGGCTTGTCATTATTTGGAACTTCTGTCATTATTTGGAAGTAGGACTCTGGAGATGGGCATCCAGATTTGCCACTATGAGCTAGGTGATTCTGGCAGGGTACTCAATCTTGAGACATATTTCTCTTTATCTAAAGAATGAGCAAAATATTCTCTGTGCTATTTACCTCATAAATTGTCTTTTTTTTTTTTTTACACTCTGTCAGATATCTTCTAAAAAACCTAGATCCAAGCCCTGCCTCTCAGACTTACACATATTGAACAACTGAAGAATGGGGAATGAAAGAAATTACAAATTTTTTTTTCAAATTTTTGAACAAATAAAGTATGACCGTATTATTGTAATACTTGTTGCAGTTTAAATTGTACACAAGAAGGTTAGGATAAAAGGTTTTGGGGCTAAAAAAGAGATCTTCTTTTTCAAACTTCTTATTTTGTAGATAAGGAGTGTGAAGCTTGGCAAGATGAATTTGCTTAATTCTACGGGAAGCAATAGTAGTTCCCAGCTCTTTCTCAATCCCAAATCTCTTCCATAACATTATTTGTCATCTTCTTTAGTCATATCTCCTACAAAGCACAAGTCATTGAATTATGCCATGAGTGAACTAAAATCATTAGAGTGACACACATCTGTGTTTTAAAAATCTCTTCAGAATTGGTTTTTCTTTCTTTTTTTTTTTTTTTAAATATTTTACTTATTTATTTGAGAGAGAATGAGTGAGAGAGAGCATGAGAGAGGAGAAGGTCGGAGGGAGAAGCAGACTCCCCAAGGAGCTGGGAGCCCGATGCAGGACTCGATCCTGGAAGTCCAGGATCATGACCTGAGCTGAAGGCAGTTGCTCAACCAACTGAGCCACCCAGGCGCCCCCAGAATTGGTTTTTCTTACAGACATCTGAACATGGCCACAAGTTTACCACAGAGTAACTTTTGCTTGTCAGCCTGTGTAAGAATTAGATAATCTGGCAAACTTATTTTAGGTGAAGACGAGACAGAGCTTTGCTCCCTGCCTGTCCACCTCTACCAAGGACAAAATAAAAGGTCCATCTAATTTTGTGATGTTACAAAAGAACATCAGTGCAAAAGGTAGATAAAGGAGATAAGCAGGCTTTGGTTGCTTTCATATATAGTTGGTCCCCATGTTAGAAGTCTGCATTCAGTTGATCATTCTTGTAAAATAAAAAAAATCCAGCAAAACACATAGTGTCACAATATGTATGCATCAGGGACATCGAGGCTAAGACAGACTACCTTTTAATGTACTGTGGATTGTCATTTATAATGCTTTGATTTGCAAGGATTTTATATGCAGTTTCCTGGAGAGTAGAGATATACACTTCTTCTAGGATCCTTTTTGGACATACCCTCTTTAAATATGCACAACGTGTGTTCAGATCATTTTTTAAAAAGCTACAGTTTCATATTCTCCAAGGAATCTGACATTGGTCCCCAAGGTGACACAGCATCTATTTTGAAGAAAAATAATACATGGGAAGAGCCGGTTCTTTCAACTTGTTTGGAATTTGGACTCTATTAAAATCTGAGATTTTCATAGGTGTTTTGGATACCATTTCTTTCGAGCTGTTCAAATTGTAATATGACACAGATACAGTCACAACTATAAGTTGCCTCTTTAGTTTGATTGTTCTTTTGAAAACAATGTGTAGTAAATATTATTACACAGAACTACATGAAGAACAAAGAGAATGCATTGAGAAACGGAAATTGCATTTCAGTAATCAATTATTTTCAATTACATGTGACCTCGGAAGAGTTTCTATGAAGGAAAATACCTAGAGTCGACTTTATTCAAATTCCGGAATTCTTTCCTTTTAAAAAAATATGCATTCTGATATTTTTGTGTATGTAAATTTTTAACTCTCTGACTCTGTATGTATTAAGGCACATGGCATCCTAAGTAGGACTATATTTAAAAAGTGAGTAATTTTATTTTTATAGCACTGAGTATGACTTCTTTATACTGTGATGAATCTTGCTTTCTGCCTTTTATTTGCATAAGTAAAATCTTCACTTTTGCATCATCATGTATATTTTCTGCATATAATTAACATGAACTTTTTTGACTGTGCAGAGCCGGCTACTTGCCTCAGCATATCCCCCTGGAGATTATCAGATACCTGTCTGAGGAGAAGGATTTTCTTCCTTGGCATGCTGCCAGTCGAGCTCTTTATCCCCTTGATAAATTACTGGACCGCATGGAGAAATACAATGTCTTCAATGTAAAAAGACCTATTTTCTTCTTTCTTATTTTCAGATGATGAACTGTTTTCTCATTATCCACTTTATGCAACTGATCCCGAGTTATTTGTGTTTCTTCTTCTAATTTGTATTATCATTTTTGTCCTGATTTTCTGTGCAACACTGATGACAATTACTTGAAGAAGAAATGGAATCTGAGCTACTTTTTATTCTGGCCTAAAAGTGTCAATTAAGCTTAAATGCCTCAGAATTTGAGAACAAATATACATGGCAAATCCTTAAAGTTCAAACTTACTTTCCAAGAGTTAAAGGGCTCTGTGTTCACAAAGGACTTAACCTGGGTAGAGGGATCCCAAAGATCTTAACAGAATATAGACAGTTTCAGTAAAGATTCTTAGTCATTATTTTTATCCAAAAGGGCATAGTGAATTCAATTCACTTCCTTAATTAACAAGGATAAGATCAACATTGAGGCGAGAGCCCATTCATAATTGGGTCCAAGGGGATACAGGAGAGCAAACAGTAGATAATCCAAATAGACACAAAGACATGACAAACATTCCAAAATGTTACCTGACCAGATTTCCTAAGCTGAAGTCTGGTAAACCAACACTGCATGGCGGACACCACCTAATCTAATTTAATAACCATTTTGAATAAGATTAAGATTAAGTATGGCCAATGAGCTTCTGATTCCTAAATTTCTTATCGCCAGTGAGGCTTTGCATATGAGACTATGTCTCTATGCTTTCTATTACCTTCGAGCCGTATTTGGTTCCCCTCAGTTATTTTAGGAGTCTGCCCTGTGTTTTATAAAGTCCTCCTACGTCTTATGACCCATGGGCTCTGCTAATTAACCTCCACATTTGAAATTACTCGAGACTAGATTGCCATGACATGAAGTATGTTTCTGGCCCCCTCTACATTGTCTGATGACCATCAGAATTGCTTCTTGTTTCCTTATTCCAAGTCTGCATGCCAATACCTCTGTTTTCATATATTTTTTTAAACTGGAATGATCCTGGCTTGACTGTTCATTGTCATTAGTTTGGTCTAATCCCTGACAACGACATGCAAAAAAATGGGTCGTTATGGTTCTGGTGTCACTTTTATCGGCTAGAGAAAGACTTACCACACTTCTCTTTTCTCCTTAACAGAGACACTGCCATGTTAAGCTTCTGTAAAAGTAAAATACATTTTTGTATATATTTGTACTTTGGAATAGTATTTCATGTCAGACACCTCAATTTCAGTAAAAGTTAAGAATTGCTTTTACTTGTAATTTCGATGCTTTCATTTCTTTGACAAAATTCAAGGGCCACATTAAAGTGAGGAGAGCATATTTTATATCACTGCTAATATTTAAATATATCACTAGCTCAATGGATTTTGACTTTGAAATGCCATATTTTTTACTGAAGAGTGTTCTGTGTATCTCAGATTCAACAGTGCTAGGCTATTGGCTGAGCTTTCATCACAGCTTTTCTTTAAATGTGCTCTGTTGACATGAACTGCATAAATGTTAGGTGCTTATTTTCCACAAGCTATGTCTACATACATTTGTATATTTGTGTGCATGGGTGTCATTGTCACTGTTCCTCAGTATCCTTGTTTCACTACCAAAATTTTCATCTAAAATATTGAATAGTGCAAATTACTTAATCATTCAATAGGAAGTAAAGAGTAGACTTCTACCATTGCAACTGTATTTTATCCTTATTTTCTATATTTGAAACACTGAGCTGGATAAAATAGAGCCTTTACCATGGCCATCTTTTTACTGATATTTTAAAGTAGGTGCATTTAGAAAATGTTTTAATCGTATTATGTAACTGTAATTATCATCATGGAGAGGTTTGAAACTGACATCTTCTTTATTTCCCCTAACCCCCATTTAGGAATATATTTTAAAGCAAGTTGCAACCACGTACATCAAGCTTGGATGGCCAAAAAACAATTTTAATGGATCTCTTGTTCAAGCATCCTACCAACATGAGTACTGTTTTATTTTCTTATTTGCCTCTTTTCCCCCAGAGCTGTACAATAACATACAACTAGTACTATTGCGACTTCAGCAGCATGAGATGATCTTTCTTTCATTCTGCATCTTTCATTTCCCTTTGCTGGGAGGCCTGCAGATGGATAGCACAGTTTCCCCTACCTGGTACTGAGAACAAAAGCATATCCTTGCCATGCTTCAATGTAAGATCTGCCGTTACTGGTAAAAGGGAGATTTGAACCCAGCGCCACCTCCCCCACCCCTGCCCGACTGTATTACTGTTCCAGAGAAGACTTGTGACTTGTATTATCCTGAACTTCTCCTCTGCCTAACCATCTCCTCCTCAGCAAAATAGGATTTCTGTATCTGGAAATTATTTTGGGGCTGATTATTTACTTATCTACTGCTTATGCAATGAGGAACCCTTCCTCTCCAGATAGTAACACTGCTTTTTCATTGTTTTTCCTTTTGATGGTACCTAGAGAACTCCGGAGAGAAGTTATAATGCTGGCGTGCAGTTTTGGCAACAAACACTGTCACCAACAGGCATCGACACTTATTTCAGATTGGATTTCCAGCAACAGGAACAGGTAAGTGGAACCAAATCCTGTATTTCTGATATGATTTAATACTGCTTTCAGATTCTCAGTTGATGCATTGCATTTATCAACGGGTGGAAAACAAGACAAGGAGAAAACACTGTGAAACTGTGTTTCAGGTTCATCGCTTACGTGGCAATCACATAAAAGCCACAATAGACTTTCCCCTGGAGTGTTTTGTAGAGTTTTAAATTAACTTTCTTAATCTAGGCTCTTATTCTTCATACATACGGTGCCAGCTTATTTTGAATTTGGGTAGTTTGCTATTCCATTAGAATAAAATAATTTTATGTAGGCCAGATTCTAAGGTTCTTTATAAAGGTTGTGGTATTTATTTATAAAACAACTGCAAGCGTATGATACAGTAAAACAGTATAACGTATGTTAATATTAAAAACCAAAAACCAAAAAGGTTATAGAAAAAAATCTACTCTTTTAGTGACCCTTGACAGAGACCTTAAACTTCTATCTTATCTTGGAATTTCACAATACAGGATTTTAATACATAATGTCATGTTGAAATTGTTTAATAGAATTATCTTTGATAAAAATATTATACTAAATGTCACTTGTTAATGTTAATGATGTTTTAATATTGAATATTAGGCATAAAAAATTGAAGATCATGATCTTTTCACTACAGTTTTTTAAACCTTCTTAGGTATTTTTATATTTCCAAAGACCTTTATGTTCCATTTCTTATTACACTTTGGGCAACTTACAATCACTCCTCCCAGTCTTTGGCCCCTGTGTTAAGGCAAGCCTGATGGGAAAGTTGAGGAGCTGCGGGACACTTTACTCAGATGGTGCTAGTTCACGTGCCTGCATGCCACCGTGGGCTTGTCCTCAGCTGAGTGGCTGGGATGACTCACAGGAAACAGAGAAAGGGACTTGTTCTAGGCAAATATAGAGAACCACAGAGAGTGTAATTTGTTCCTACTTAAGGAACAAATTGATTGCTGTCTGGTCAAAAGTTACTTAGGTTTAAATGTAGTAGTTAACTGACTCCAGAGCAAAGCACAGCTATCCTGCTTCACAAATCTGTGAGAGATCTTTCACTGCATTGCTAAGTAATTTGTCACCTTTTTAACCATTGTCCCGTTTGCTCTTTAAGTTAACCATTTCTGGGTTTACCCTGAGCTAAGAAGGAAAATATTTTATCGCTATCCTCTCTCAGTTGATCCATTATGTACTCAAAGACAGCAGTTAAATTTGTCACAGGTCTTTTCTAGAACTAAAAGTGTTCTCACTTATTAACTTTTACCAATGATTATCCTTTTTGCTAAGTCTTCTGAGACCTATTACATCAAACTTGAAAATGTTATAATAAAAGCTTTGTTTTCCTTTTTTCTACCACCTTCTTCAGTTCTACCACATGTATTTAAGGGATGAACACATAAAAATTTACCCAAAACCAATACACCCAAAATTGTATTAGGATACCTGATCATAAATGCATATGAGAAAAAAAGGTAAAATATATTATTTAAAGATTGTGGTCTCTGCCACTTTGTTTTTATTTGATTAGTCTTTTGTGTGTTTGATTCCTCTTGCTGCAGACACATGCCTTTTCTCAGACCTGACAGTTACTTTTTAGCCCATAAAAGTACAGCTATTGGGAAAATGCTATTTTTTAAATAATTCATTTATTTAACCAAATTTTACTGAGCAATTCTCAATACCAGCTGGTGGCCAGGAAGCAAAGAGAAGAGGGAGAGCTCAAAATTAGAGAATGCATCTCTATAAACAAAGAGTCTGTTCTTTGAAGCAAGAGCTCAGCACATGACAGTGTGAAGCAAGAAGGGAGGGCTCTGCTTTGGGGGAATCATTCATCCTCAAGAGGATGAGCAGGATCCTGCTGGGACTAGGAGGGCAGGCAGAGACCTGGACAGGTGCATGAATACTTAAGTCACGGGTGGGGAGTGCAGGGGGCGTGGATGGGGTTTCCAGGCAGAGGGAAGGTACACAGATTGATGTTTAGTTGAACGAGTATAGTAAATTTTGGTCTGTGAATTTGAACAACCCGTCACATCCAAAATTCCCTTATACATGGAAGTTTATGCATGAGGTATCAGTTCATTTTGGTTTTGATAACTCTGCAACTTATTTATGGCAAGATAACTAAACTTGGGTCCAATACTTGAAGATTCTTTCATTCTTTCCTTCATCATTTGTATGTTCTCCTCCTTTGCTTTCTTCTGTAACTGGCTAAGTAAACACGCTAAGTGGAACTAACACTGTGTTTCTAAGATTTGCCCAACCAGCCATAGGACGTGTCCCTGCATACACAAGGGACCTCTCGCAGTGAGGGTACAAGGTACTGAGCTACCTGTGTGTGAGGACCAGAGATTTAACCTGTATTTTTTTTTTTTTTCAGTGACAGCTTAATAATAAAACAATGTGTGATCATGTAGTTGTTTCTGAGATTAACTTTCTTAAATCAAGTCAGTAAAGGGGAGGGGAGGGTTTCTTTTTAAATGTGCCTGAAGCAACACACTAGTCAGTTGCATTTGTTTGCTTGTTTTTTGTCTCACAGGACCCTTAAAAATCATCTCTAAGAAAAGCCTCCCAAGGTAATGCAATAGGATACTTACAAAATGGTTTGGGAGATGCTGTGTATGTATGCTAATAAATTTAAAGGACAGTGAGTCATGGAAGTTCGCAGGGATTGCAAATCTGGGGTGCTGTGCTTTTTTTTTTTTTTAAGGATTTTATTTATTTATTTAATTGACAGAGAGAGAGAGAGAGAGGGAGAGAGAACGAACACAAGCAGGGGGAGTGGGAGAGGGAGAAGCAGGCTTCCTGCTGAGCAGGTAGCCTGATGGGGCTCTATCCCAGGACGCTTGATGACTGAGCCACCCAGGGGCCTCTGTGCTATTTTACAGCCGGATCTTGATATGCTGGGGAGATAGGTCCAAGGGCCAGGTGGGATTCAGGAGGATCGAATGAATATGAAAGTTGGTATAGGGAAAGGTAATGGAACCAAAAAGTGCATTGCAAAGCTAGAGACAGTAGCAGCAGAGAGAGAAAAACTCAAGAATTCCAGTGAATGATAAATTGAATGAGTCCACATGTTAATATATTCAAATGCTGCAGCGTGTTGAATTGTAATGGTGATGTCATGCATCAAAAGGGATGAGCTACATTCAGGTCTTGTTAGGCTGTGATTTGGGGACTGAGTTCAGCAGAACACCACATCTCAGAAAAGAGACAAATTGCCAAGCATTCAGTAGAGAACAATACAAATGATAAAAAAGATCTTGAAAACACGAGCTGCAAGAGGAGGTTATAAGACCTGAAAATTTCACTCTAAAAAAAAAGACATAGAGAAGATGATAGCCTTTTGTAAGTATAAAAAATGTAATAAAAGGGACAGAAATTGGTTTCTTTCACTGATTAGCACAAATAAACAAGAAATAATAGGCATAAGCTTCACTGAGTAAAATATAGGGATTATATTATTACTGTAGGTGAATTATTATTTGACGATTTCATATTAAAACACTATTGAGATTGTACAATCAACTATACAGAGATCACAATATGGTATAATGGGGTTTATTTAAATAAACAATTTATTCTGAAATTAAATGTGTGTCAATAGTAACACAGCCTCTTAATTTTGTGATAATGTATTATTTTTCAAATAATGTTAAAAGATACAATTTAAAGCTTTAAGCCAATATGGAACAAAGATTTAAAGTATTTAATTTTTAAAAAGTATTCAGTAGATACTGATATCCATTCCCTAGTAGATTAATTGATAACTGATATCATCACTCTACTTGAAAAATATCCTGAAACAGTGGGATACCTTCTACATTATGAGAGATCAAAAATGTATATTGCATTGAAGTGAATTTGAAATCATTTTGAAAATGGAAAAATTAAAGTCCTTCCATACTAAAAATTTTAAGTAAAGGACCATCTCTGGAACTTGGTGACATACATAACACATAAACTTCACTACTCATGCAATTCATTATAATGTTACTGATAATATTGTCTTTAATGATGATCATAATGAAAGATATATTTATTTATTGAGTGGTTGGTATGTTACAGGCATTGGACCAACTGCTTTTAGTGCACGATCTCATCGTTTTTATTTCATTTTTATAGACGACAAATCCAAAACTCTCAAAGGTTATACAACTTGCCAAGATTATGTGACAGCAGTAGGTGGATCTGGGCTTCCTTTCCAAGGCTGCATGCTCTTCTAACCTGACCGCATGTGACACTGAGGAGAAATATCAAATTACCATATATTGGTAATATATGTTTGTTCAGAAATGATTTAAAAAAGAAGAAAGGAAAAAAAAGACACCCACCAGAACTTAAATACTCTCTGCACTGAGTACAAGCCATAGTTGAATGCAGGTTGTGCTCACGACATAAGCTCGTGGTTCTCGCATCTGGTCACATGTAAGAATCACTGGGAGGGCCTGTGAAACAGGTTGCTGTACCCCACCCCCAGAGTTCTGTTTCAGTAGGTTGAATGGGGCCCAAGAATTTGTATTCAAGACAACTTCCTGTGTGATGCTGATGCTGCTGATCTGGGGACCACTCTTTGGGAACCACTGGTGTAGGGAAAGGCTACTGTCATCAAAGACACCAGTGATCAAAATGCAGCTGGGCCACTCACTGACCTGAGGAAAACCACTTGGTTTCATCATCTGAAAAATGGCAGTCATAAGACTAACCAAACAAGTCATAAGCATTAGACAAAAATGCCTATTTATTATTTGGCTTTTATAGGAAATCATAAACTTGAATCATCTTTGGAGCTGGCCTTCTACTTGTTTTGACCATACAGGTGGGTGCTGGGAGTTTGGAATGGGGGAGTAGGAATAAGTAGAGAATAGGGCAGTATAGAACATGTATAGAATGCCTTCATGATCAGATCTCTGTAAGTCGAGGGGTTATAAGCACGTGACCTGTAACATAGACTATACACAAACTATTACCATAGAGATTGTCAAACAGGAGCA